GGGGCCGCCTCGTGGCAGAGGCCGGAGGCCTCGGGGGGCGGCGGCGGCGGCGGCTCCGGCCTGGAAGGGGCCGCGGGCGGCTCCTGAGCTGCTCCGGGGCCGCGCGAGGGGTCTGAAAATCTTCCCCGCGCGGCTTGGCCCGCGCTCCTCGTGCCGCTTAAATAAACGGGTAAAGCAAAGCGGGGGGAGCGGGACCCTTCTCAGCTCTGAGCTGAAAAAGGGAACCAAACAGGACAAAAAACGGGGTAAAATAGGGACTGAGGCAGCTCCTGCACCCTCGAGCCGACAGTGTCACCTGCCTGAATTCACCTGTGCTGGGTGACGGGGATGTACAGCCCCGGGTGTTACAGGAGTTGGCCCCGGCGCTGCGGGGCCTCGCGTTTGTGGTCAGAGGCAGTGTGAGTTTGCCAGGTGTTGTCCCCGCAACACACCAGCCTGCCCGGGGCTTTCCTTCCGGATGAGTTTCTGGAATGGATCCCCTTGAGCCCGCTTTGAAGCTGCAGTTTGGGAACGTGGTTAGAACCCCAGGGAAGCCGCCCGCTGTCGCGATGCTGGGAGTGTTCGAGCGGGGTAGCTTTACAGCAGCCGTGGGCACTTTGGAACACATCTAGAGACAGTTTCTCCGCTACCTTCCTGCAACAGGTTCAAACTGCAGTTTTCTGATATTCTTCCCTTCTTTGCAGGTGCTTGTGAACACTGCCTGCTGCTTTCTGATGCTGGTGGCTAAGCTGATCCAGTACATGGTGTTTGGTCCTCTTCGTGTTAGCGAGAGACAGGTAAGATCGGCAAACTTGTTACCCCAGGTACCCAGGTTGGTTTTGTGTAGCATTGTTTCTTGGTGGGTGACTGCTGTGCTTTTATGTATAAAATTGCTGAACGTTATACAGCAAATACACATTTTAAAACACTGTAAACTTAAACCTTACCATTTGGAATTCTCGCTCTGGAAAATATTATTCAGTAAAACTCCAGAGGAGAAAATCCACAGCCAGGAGCTTCTGGTTTATTTCTGAGTGGATTTGTTCATGTTAGTTGTTGCTATTGAATATTACATGCCCATGGTCAGTTGAAAATCCTATTTCATTAATGCTGTCAGATTTCTTAAAGTGCACCTCATTTCAGGGAATTTTTTCTTTTACATACATGTAAATATATATATATACACACATAAAGATATTCTTTTCTATTCCACGTTAACAATAGACGTGTAGAGATTTAATCAGTGTCAGCTTCCAGAATGTTCCCTGCTCCCTTAAAAACAGACCTGGAAAGCAGTAGCAATGTGGGATTCATTTGCTTTTGCGCAGCTGGGGTATGCTGCAGATCTTATTTAAAGCAAAGCTGTTTATTAATGTTGATGAGCCAAAAATGGTGGTATCCCGAAGGAATTCTGCGTCCTTCCTAATGCTCTTACTGGTGATTTCACCCTGTTTGTGGTCAAAATATTCTATTTCATATTATTTTTATCCCCAAGCAGCAGCTTTTTTTTTTTCCCTTAAATCTATGATTTGAGACCATTGGGCTATTTCTTTCCTACTGTGTGTGCATGGGAATAATTGTTTTTTATTGCTCATCCCCCTCATTCCTTGCTGTAGGCATTCGTGCTTTTTAAGAGTGGACTTTGTCATCTTAATCATCTGTTCTTGATGACAAAGGGAGTTAGTGTGGACATCTTGACATCTTTTTGGAAGCAAGATGATAAGTTAGGTGGGCACTTGATCTAAGCATGGTTATTAATCTAATCAATCTAGCAGAGATTGCTCTTTCCTTTTTAAAAAATATTTATTTTACTCTTTTCCCCTCCCTCCCTGTCGACCATGTGTGTTATCTGCTGTGAACAGGGGGCAGTTTCGTACATGTGAGTTGTCGGTGCATTCACAGCAGTAAACTAGTTGTCTTCCTTTTCAGCATCTCAAGGATAAATTCTGGAATTTCATTTTCTACAAGTTCATCTTTATCTTTGGCGTGCTGAATGTTCAGACTGTGGAAGAAGTGGTCATGTGGTGCCTTTGGTTCTCTGGGCTCGTGTTTCTTCATCTCATGGTCCAGCTCTGCAAGGATCGCTTTGAATACGTAAGCTTGGCTTAAGGGTTGTCTTCTGGGGCACGCTGATCCTGTTTCCAATTTGGGCAGCAACTTGTGACGGGTTGCAAACAGTTTGTTTAGACCTTTTCCTTGCTTGTAAGCACTGAACACATGCACCTCCCACTAGCTTCAAATATATTTCCTTTGGAGTGCAGTTCTCCCATCAGACAAAGTAGAGCTGAGGATACCCAATTTCTTTAATAAATTGGCCCATGTATGTGCCATGTAATTTCCCTTTTTCACATAAGCTATATTCCAGTTTGTGTTAATACCAAGAATTAAGTCAACAAAGGGAGATGGAGAAATTGAAAGCTAAGCAAGGAGGAAGGAACTGGAATTTGAATAAGTTTTACCCTTTAAATATCCATAGCATACATGTCTTTTCCTCAGTTCCTCTGTCCTGGATTAAACATTTAAAGTGAGTCCCTGATTTTCTTTTTGGTAGTTTAGTACTTTGTGTATATTTATTACTATCCAGTAAGTTTTGTGAATTCTTGAGTAGTTGAATTCTGAAATGGCAACTAGATTTGTTAGAAAAATTGAGACAGAAAGGAACAAGAAAGGTAGTGTTTTAGTGGTCCTCAGAAAGCTGTAAAAGAGCAAAGCCTCTGTAGGAGATACCTTTATGTGTTCTTGAGAAGAAATTTGTAAAGGGGCTTTCCTTCTGCCTTCAAAGCTTTTATCATAGTATTGGACAAAATGGTACACATGTGATTTGCCCTGCAAGCTCCGTTAGCTGGAATGCAATGAAATACTGATGAGGAAGAAGGGAAGAAAGATACAAACCATGGCAGTCAACTTATTTAATCAGGTCAGACTAAAACCTGGGGCAGCTCCTTCTTTCTTTGTTCTGTTCTTCCCCTTCCAGCCCAGATGTTTTGCCTCCTGTGTCATATTTGATTTAGACAGTCTAGGTCTAGGCTGCCATTAAGGTAGTTTAGACAATTAGGAAGTTGTGTGCTACTGAATGAGACAACTGTTTCCATCAGACTGCCCAGCTGTCCCTAGCTGCCTAGCTGCTGGTAAGCTTTCTGAGGCAATGCTTCTTTTTTTTTTTTTTTTTTTTTTTTTCCAGAAGAAAAAGATAGTGGAGGAACTAGTGCCTGGATAAATTCAGATCACCTGAAAGGGAAAATTTTGTCAGAGTTGTTAATCTCAACCCCTGTAGTCTTTAAAACAAGGCTAGATGCCCTTCTAAAAGGCATTCTCGTCCTAAGCAGGTGCTGTGGATTTGATGCAGAGACTGCTAGGTGAGAGTCTGATCTGAAAATTAGGTTAAATAATGCTTAGAATCCCTCCTGACTTCAAAACCTCTGTGAATGGAAATGATAGCGAGATGAAGAAGTCTTTGGGGTGATGAGTGGTTTTAGGTTTCTTTTAGCATCGTTTGTTGCTACATTAGGTAGTTGAGGTTGCGCCATTGGTTTTGTTCTGGAAAGCAAAAGAATTTCCAAGTCCAAGTGAGGACTCGTTAGGTGAGGTGAGCACGGAGGTCAAGGTTGAAGCACTTCCTTAAACCTGTTACGTATTTATGTTACAGCTTTCCTTTTCTCCTACCACACCCATGAGCAGCCACATCAGAGTCCTCAGCCTGCTCATAGCGATGCTTCTGTCCTGCTGTGGATTAGCAGTCGTCTGCGGGGTTATCGGCTACTCCCACGGGATGCACACTCTGGCTTTCATGGCAGCAGAGGTGAGGCTTCCTGCACGTATGGCGTGTTTCTGCTTGGCTTCTCACTCGTGGGATTCTGAAATTCCCAAAAGAAATTCAGAAAGCACATGGAACCCCTGCCGTGTTCTGGAGTTGCCAGATCTGTGTGCTGTCTCTGTTGAAAATTTAAGACTTGCAAATCAGTCTGTATTTCATAGAATCATAGAATGGTTAAGGTTGGAAGGGGCCTCTAGAGATCATCTAGTCCAACCCCCTGCACACGCAGAGTCACCTAGAGCACGTGGCACAGGACTGCGTCCAAGTGGGTTTAGAAGATCTCCAGAGAAGGAGACTCCACAACCTCTCTGGGCAGCCTGTTCCAGTGCTCCATCACCCTCACTGTTAAGAAATTTTTCCTTAAGTTCCTGTGGAACTTTTGAAGAGAATGAGAGGATAAATCCTTAAGAGGATGGCTGAAATCAGATGTAAATGTATGAAAAAGTAATGGTCGCACTTCATGAATGTTGCAGGAAGAGTTAGTCGAGATGTCCTTAGAAGGAAGGAAGGAGCGTGTGTGCATAGGTAATGCGCCTCTCAGGCCTGTTTCTCTGAGGCTGAATTTTGTTTTATCTCCAGAAAGGAATGGGACTAACATCCTTTCCCTAAGGTACACTCGCATGATTTGCTCCTGTTTGTGTTTGTGTCTTTGCTGAGATGCAGCAACCCGTGTTTATGCGCTCCTGAATCCATTGCTGTGCGGCGTACAGAAATATGTTTGTGATGTCTGGTTGGGTTGTTGCACCTTGGAAGTGGCACTCGGCAGCGGAGGGGTGGCAGCTGGTCTAGTTGCAAGTGTGTCATCTAAGCACTCTCAGAGTTCAGACAACAAATAGCGGCACGGCTTGTTTTCCTTCTCCGATAGCCCGGGTTGGTATTTGGAGTTAGTGAGGGGGACAGAAACTAGAGAGCCAGTAGGACAGTGTGTTGGCCACTACAGTTTGGAGCTAGTAATGGGAAGGCTCATGGAGAGAAGTAGGAGATGCCTGAGCAGTGACTGCTCACAACTGCCTAACAAAGACTTTACACAATTGGCAGCTGTTAAGATATCAGTTAACTTTCCCTTCAGTATAAGAATACATTAGAAGGTCGGATTTGCTTCTACATGGTGGAAAAATATTAAAGATTTGTCGTGTTGATATTTTTAGTAGTAAGTAGTCTTATTAACGCTATATCTTTTATCTTAGCGTGGCAGAAGGGTCTATCTGCCTCCTGCCAGCGTGGAGTCGTTTTATTGGGGCATGTTGCCTGGCCCTACTTGTACTGCACCGCGTGGTGTGGGTGTTTGGGATCACAGCTTATTCCTGTCAACAGGAGCCCTTGCACCTGGCTTTGTGGTGTGGTCCTTAAAAAATGGGGCTGTGTTGTGTTTCCAAAGCCTTGGTGGCAACCTGACTCTCAACGGGGCTCTTGATGAACAAAACAGTGGCAAAATCATCTGTAGCGTACAGTCCGCAGCTGAGCCGCCGATCCCTGTGTCCTGCTGGGCTGCTGGACAATGGGGAGGTTGGGGAGAGCATATAGGAAACGGTCTCCTCCCCTTGCTTCCAACAAGCAGTGTTTGAGGACATTCCTGCGCTCATGGTTGCACAATTCTGGTGAGCGTGATAGCTACAGGTGGACTCTGGAAAGTTGTTTAATCCTTTTCTGAACTCATTTATACTTCGGCCTCTGCAGTATCCACAGGCAGCGGATTCCACATGTAACCAGGCTTCGTGTATGCAACAGACCCTTTTCAGTTGGGCCAAATCTGCTGCCTGATAATTTCCCTGGCTCTCATCCATTGCGTCTGCAGTGGGAAAACCAGTGAAGACTCATTCCTTGTTTGCCCTTCTTACACCATTTATGACTTTACAGACCTTTCTCCTTTTCCCCTTCTGACCCTTTTTCCAAGCAAGAGTCTTAGGTTCTTTAGAGTTTTCGTATACAAATTTGTTTAATACCTTGCCATTTTCTGTGGCTTTTCTAATTTACCTCTTATTGGATGTTTCCTTCACTTGGATAAAACATTTAGGTTTCCTAATGTACAGCTACTAACACTGACACCTTGTGGTAGTCCTCAAGTGTGGCCAAAAGAAAAAAAAGCATAAAACCAGAAAGACTAAACTGTTTTTGTGGTGCTGGCCTGTGTGATGCTGCAAGCGTGTTCCATCAGTGTGTGTTTAATTGCATTAAGTTACATTAAGCTATTTCTTTCTCCTGACTCTGCAGACATTGATTTAGCTTGGTGCTGCAGGCCTTGCAATAAAGGAATATGGATGTTTTTCATGGGTTTTATGTAGGCTTGTCCTTATTCTGGGTTGTTTGTCAGTGCCTAGAGAGTAAGGAATAATGTTTTTTTATTAAACAATAATTTTGTTGTTGTTTAATATATGGTTCTACAGCTTAGCATGTACTTTCCTTCCTATTTTATCACTTTTTAAAAAAATGTCGAGAATTTTAAGAATTACTGCAGTACCTGCAGTTTGATCCTGTTCCACACATTAGCTAAATCCATGCAGTGACATTTAAGAGCAGTACCTTACAGATGGGAGTATATTTTCTGTATAGCTTCTTATGCTGCACCCACTGAGTGCTTCGGGGCCTTCCAGTTGTGCGTGGGGCTACGTGAGTGACGTCTGTGAGCTGCGTTTTCTACCGTGGAGGCCCCAGGGGACAAGTGTATGTGGAGGGAAGCTTTAATTTTGAGTGGTTCAAGACCCATGCGGTGTCATCTCTGCAAATGTCCTGCCCTGTGTTCAGAACCTTGGATTTTGGCAGTGTGTAGCTCACGCTGCAGTGTTGTGCTTTCTGAGAAGCATTTCTGGTGTTAACTCAGAAGTGTTTCGCTGGGATCAGTGGAGGAGCTGGGGACCGTTGTCGTGGCCAGATCTGTGCTAGCTTGTTATTTCAGTTTTGCTGCTCTCGCTGCCTCAGCACTAACCACCATAAATGATATCCTGTCAACAAAATGGTGACTTGCAAGGAAGTATTAAAATCCCACACATCTTAAATGCTAACTTATATTTTAACCTCTTAAAAGTTACAAGGCCTAGACTATTTGGGTTGAGAGGTGTCTTCCATATCAGAAACTATCAGCCGTATGTCCTGGTTGTGATGTAAAGCTGTACCCAACAGCATTTCCATCCAGCATATCAGAAAAACGCTCTGTTTTACCGCTTCCAAGGTTAGCATTTGGGCATCTGTCTTTGCTCTGTGGTATATTCCATGTTTCCCCATAGCTGAAAACCTCCTGTGGACAAGGTACGTCCACTTTCTGTCTCCCAGATGTGATGGTTTCA